GACCTTACGGTTGCGAGTCCGACAGCCTAACCACTAGGCCACCGACGCCACAAAGCAAAATAACAACCAGCTGAAGCACATTATCTTAATATTAAGTCCAATCTTTGGATGGCATTTATGATTGCTCTGTTTTCCGTTTTGGTTGAAACTGTTTTAATAAAATAATGTTAATTGCAGAAACAAACTTCTCCTTTCACTTTCATTGCACATGCAATGTACGTCCATTGTATCAACATTGACGTTCCTCGATGCACACACAAAAAACAATTATTTTACGTTTCTTTGATTTAGCACAATTCTGCCAAGCCTGATTTTTTAAGGTCAGTTTTGAGTGATTATATCTCGGGCGTCTCTTAACATAGATAAAAGATTAATATGTTAGATGATGCAGAATGCATTTAGCTTTAAATTGGTATGTTACATGAGTGGATAGAGCAAGGCTTTAACACGATGATTGGGTGATTAATTGTTCAAGTTTCTTTTGGACGCCATTCTATATATACATTTATATAAAACCAACAGTATGCCTACTCACCACAACGAAGAATTGGCGCTTAATACAGAACACTCCTACGTGTGTTCGCGAGACATGGGGACAAGGCAGGTGACTGACCCCATCAGCCGCTCACAACATGAGAGGGCTGGCTTATGTTGTGCGGAATAATAGTACACACAATAAAGCAAAGTAAAAAATCCTATGTTCCGCTACTTATATAAGTCAGTATTATCATACAGTCTTTTGAGCTCGGTGCAAATAGCCGTCTTCAGCTCACGGGCGCCGCACACGAAGTAGAAGTTAACAAAAGAATAGCGGGTATCAATGTTCAATCTAAGTATCACCAGAAAAGCGTACAGTTGTAAAAATGTTTAGAAAGTTGTCCTCCAAATGAATAATTAAATTATTATTATGAGACGTGAATTATTCCGCGCTCAGCTCAGCTGATGTTTACCTTCGAAAACGCAATCCAGCAGTCTACGACCGACTCACGTCAACACGGGCCACCAGACTTTATAAACACTGACATATCCCACAAGTCTGTAGTAACAGGTTCTTGTTTTGTTTTGGATTTTCAATTTTTGAAGATTAAGTTTTGTTTTGTTTTCAGGAGCTTATTACCTCTCTTTTAGTACGAGGGCAACGACTTATCAATGGGCAAAAAAAAATCCTGGTGCGTTCCCAAACTGCAATCACACCTCGTAAAAGTTCTCCGCGACCTACTAAACATCTCACCGGCCACGCACTGCTGGCTGCTGGGACCACAAGGTGCCGGGTCGAGGGGAGGAGCGGGAACACCGGCCACGGAAACACGACACACAATACTCGATACCTATTCGGTCAAAGTATCCGTCCCTGAGAATACGTATGAGTATCGAATACTTTAGCTTTCTCGACGGTTGCGTGTTCTGTTTTTCATAAAGAAAAGCACACATCGACACGACAGCGGTCATTCATTTTGCGCAGGGGCGGAGTAGGACAGAAACGTAAGAAAGAAAACTAAAACAAAGTAGGACCAAAACCAACCAATATCACCTGCCAGCTTTCTCTCTATGACATTATAAAAACTATATTTTTTTAAAGTTTATACATGTATTTATTAGATATTATATACCTAACAAAGACTTCTTTTCTGTCCATCTACAGTTTTTTAACACGTGTTATTTCCCACCACTAAAAGCCCATTATCCCCTTTCCTTCTTCTGCAACAGGGTTGATTTTTTGCTGGGGTTGTTG